TGTTCCAATTTGATTTAATGATAATTTTCTAGTCGAATAGTAACAAATTTGATGTAAAAAAATGTAACTGAAAAAAAAATGTCTTTGGTTGTTTAACAAATAATAATCAGGAATTATTAGTAATTAGTATTTAGTAATTAGAAAAATCCTGACTATTACTAATCCATAGTAAATGACAAATAAAAGTACTCACGAAATTGATAGTAAAGATCAAGATTTCCATGATACTGAGTGAAGTTGATTTAATTGTTATAGAAATTAGTAAATATAATTAACACTATGATATAATTTACAATTATTCTTAATATGATATCTTAATGTATATTAAACATTATTAGAGAAAAATAAATAGAACTAAAACCATTCTATATAGTTTAACACTCGTATGTACGTAATTATGATTGCTGTTGAAAGTTACAGACGATTGAACTAAAGAAAAGAAAGAAATATAGAAGCATGAATTGTACCATTCCCTAATTGATATTGACATTTGTGAGACGCATAAAGTACGCGACGATAAAAAGAGAAACAGACAGATTTAAGTGAGTGAATAATTTTTATTGCCAATAAAGCAAATTTATCGAACTGCCTAAATGGCATGAAATGCCAGGATGTTTTTGCCGCACTTAGATACAATGCACTTTTTGTCGTCGTCGTACTTTGGCTGTGACGAGGAACGATCAGGAGGGATCGAGAATCCACGACAGATGGTGGCTATTATGATTTTAAATGCTCCGATCGCGCCACCCTTGTTGTTCGGTTAATTCAGTGCGGTCCACCCTCTCAAATTACATACGTGTTTACTGTTTATATTATACAATTTCGACAGAAATATCCCAAAAATAGAAGGAAAAAATATATATATTTATATATGTGGAAATGGACACAAATCCGGATCAATCGAAAGGACTTACAACCCTCGCACGATGTAAAGGAACCGTATGGTCTGCATGCAGCAAATGTTAACTCTTTCATGACATATTTGAGACTGGCAATTTATGGGAGAACGTTTAGAATGTATTAGTATAGGTTCCAAATAAAACTCATTAGCACAGAACATTACATATCAGAACAAGATACAGGGGAACAGGACAAAATAGTGACTTAATAGAATAGTACTGAAATATGAATACATACAGAATAGGTAAACTTTACCATCCATAATAATAGATGTTCTGTTTTAGTACAATTCTCTTATAGACAGGATAAAATGGTTTTGATTTGTTCTTTTCTCTTGAATCACGTTCTGTGCTGGTGAGTTCTGGTTGGTTCGATCACCATAAGTATATTAGTATATTAGTATATTAGTATATTAGTATATTAGTATATTAGTATATTAGTATATTAGTATATTAGTATATTAGTATATTGATGCCACCTGTCAAATACCAAAGGAACTACATATTTTATCAGCAGAAATATTTAAAAATCTACAATATTATAAGTCAGATCTTTTATTAAAGAAATTAAGAGAGAAAATTTTATTGTTGATGGTTTTGTATCTAAATGATCTGAAGTCTACTTTTGAATGAAAATATTTTGACATTTGTCTATGATCACGATGACAATCATGTGTGTGTGTGTGTAGAGATATGAAAAGGAGAGTAAGTGGCCAATTAATGTAATGCACAGAGCGTAGGGTGCGCAGGTCGTAATTGAGCATTTTCTATTGTTTACAGGGGTGGGGTGCGGGGGAGAAGCGTTGCATTTCGTCTGGCGAAGGGGCGGTTGTCAGGGGGGNNNNTACACCCTCTCCTAACGTGAACGTATTCCGATGCGGTTAGGTGAGGATTTTAGCCGCTTCATTTGCAACTAACCACCGCCACATGCGTTCCCTTTGATCGCAACCCTAAATTGGAACCGACACAGGACAACCGGAAAACCGTGAAAAATCGCATCAGGATTTTCAATTTTTTTTTACTCTTACAAATTGCTTGCAATGCGTTTCCATATTTCATTTAAAATTTCATAACAAAAGTTTTCAATATTTTAATCACAAAATAATTACCAAATTAATTAATTTATCATTGTTTTTTTTTAACAATAAACAAACTTATAATATTATATATGATTATATATGATTAATTTATGCACAAATTATTTGATACAATTTTCTATTAAAAAATGTGATTTTGGAAAATAAAAATATTTTTCAGAAATTTATTTAAAATTGCTGAATATGTTTTCATATCGTGATCAATAGATAATTATAATTTAACTGTTATTTGTTATGAAATAAAAAAAATATATAAGAGAAGATGAGAGAAATGTAATAACATTTTTCAATTCTTTGTATTATTTGTTCTTCAAATGTGTTTTTTACTCTTACAAATTGCTTGCAATGCATTTCCATATTCCATTTAAAATTTCCATTTCATAACAAAAGTTTTCAATATTCTAATCACAAAATAATTACCAAATTAATTAATTTATCATTGTTTTTTTTTTGAACAATAAACAAACTTATAATATTATATATGATTAATTATATTTAACTAATTTATGCACAAATTATTTGATACAATTTTCTATTAAAAAATGTGATTTTGGAAAATAAAAATATTTTTCAGAAATTTATTTAAAATTGCTGATCAATAGCTAATTATAATTTAATTGTTATTTATTATGAAATAAAAAAATATGTAAAAGTAGATGAGAGAAATGTAATAACATTTTTCAATTCTTTGTATTACTTGTTCTTCAAATGTGACGGTTTTCAATCAATTTTCAATAGAGTAACAAAAAATTGAGTTAATTAAATAAATTTATGACTGGATTTAGATGGTTTTTTGGTATACAAAATTAGATTAGTGTATTTAAAAAAAGGTCAGTTTATTTTGCAAATTGGGTGGTAATCATTGAACTCTGTTAAGTGAAAGAAATTGGATCTTGTTATAAAATTATGGAACTTGGAAAAAAGTTGTTTTTGCAAAGACGCGTTTACTTTTTCGTTTTTTCTTTCTGCTAATGTCGTGCAATTAAATGCGAAATGTGAGGGTGGCTGGGGGGTGGCGAGTCCCTAACTCCGGAATATATATATATAAGGACCTTGTGTAAACTTTTAGTAAACGGGGGGGTGACTGTTAGGGATGCTGAAGCACGTTCGCTCGTTGCCTTTTCCACCCCCCGAAGGACCCCTTATTCGCGTCTTATTGGCAAGACAAACAGCAGACATAGAGAAACTTGACGAGCGATGAGGACGAGGCGAGGACTCCGATTGTAAATTGGCCCTGTAAACACATTCTAACATGATCAGCACTACATTAGGTCCTGCCGCTGCCGCCGCCGACGACGCCGCCTCCGTGTCTCTGTTACGCTGTCAAACTAACCGGAAACGGGCTGAGCGAAACAAACCGGACGTCGAAAAACAATCCGTTCATCTTTCCACACGCGCGCAACGCATCCGAATAAAACCAACAATATATTGTTTTCAATTAAGCATCGATTCGTAAAACAACTACAAAAAAAGAACGTGCAGCATAAAATGGTAGGCAAATGAGTTTAGTCGAGCCGGACGTGATTGGCGTTTGGAAAAAGGGAAATTCGGGTGTGCGGGTGGCTGTCAGGTCAGCCGGAAAGTCGGGGGGTTTTGGGGGGTGGTTGGTGAATTTCGTAATCCATTTAGGCCTTCGTTAAGGCAAATAAAATAGAGAGAAAAAAAAAACATCCGGACAAAACATTGACAACACATTGTGAACAGATCCGTTGTAGGGATCTCTGCTAAATCGAGTTAGCTAATTGCAGGGAGACAACGAGCGTCGCGACGATGGCGGCGGCAGCGGAGGAGGCGGAGGCGGCTGTTCCCCTCCGAAAAATGGGGGACATGGCGGAATTTAAGCGTTCCATGGCCGGAGCCACTCGGACCAATGAGACACGCTCTTTATTATCATCAATTAAAGTAATGAAAAATTAATTTTTATTATTCTTTCTTTTTCCAAAAAAAAATCGATGAATTCACATTTTTAGCATTTGTCTAAAATTAAATCATTTCAAAGTTATAACTTTACAACTGTTAACACTAATAATAGTTAAATGCATATTTATTTAAATAGGTTTTTCATATAAATTATCCAATTATATTCTTTAGAACAGCGTTTCTCAATTTTGTTTTTTGATTAGATTTTGGTAAAGTTTGTATACAGTGTTTTACATGTAAAATCATTAGATTTAACGATAATTTATTTAAGCAGATTGTAATTAATTATTATTTATTTATCTACATAAATAATCTTATTCAATCGAGAATTTATTCCTGATATTGTATTCAACTGGTTTACATTACTTTTTTTATTTATTAGTTGTAGATGAGTATTTCCATTTTATATGATAATTATAGTAATTCAAACAATTGTTATGCAATAGCTATAAGTAATTATTTAAATTATCTGTACAGGTATCTCCCGACTTACGAACTCCCGGACTTATGAACAAAATTCTAAAAGCTCTAACTTGTTACAAGGAGATATATAGCGATAAAAAATTAACTGTCTAAACAAAAATTGATAATTTCTTTAGATATAAATATAATATTTTTGGAAGATGTACTATCTGTTTTGTTGCATTTGTTTCTTTTGTCTGCATTGAAAAGTATTTGTAAGTAAGTATTTTGTTTATTTTAATCTATTTTTTTCAAATTTATGCAGTCAGTAATACGGAATTTAACATATATACAAATAAAAAACAATGATAAAGAGCGGTAAGACAAGTATATTTTTAAAATTCCCCCGACTTACGAATATCCCTTTGAAACGGAACTAGTTTGTAAGTAGGGGGATACCTGTATTCTATAGCACAGGGTGTAGTTTATTTAAACTTAACTTGGATGACGTTTAAAAATTGAAGAATAACAAATAATCAGATTTTCTGAAGTAATTAATTAAGGTGGTCGTTTAGCAATTATAAGTAAAATCTTTTAACGAGTGTGTCATCTCATATTTTATGATTGAAATTGGTTTGTATATAATTTATGATTGGAAATTGAAATTTAAGTATAAGTTTACCTGCTAGTTCTGGTAGCCTGGGATAGAACATGCCGGTACGCGCCAACCATTCCAGTTGCATCTGCTGCAGGTGGTTGTGGTTGTGATGATGGGTGGGCACTTGGACTTTTTGCAACATGGGGTTTCCGTCGAGACTGTGGAAGGCGGATGTCTGATGTGATTGTCCGGCGGTGGCCTGGTGGTAGCCGTAGGCGAAGGCAGCGCCGGCGGCCGTAGCTCCATTTGGATAAATGTGATTGAGGAGGCCAGGTCTAGGTACGAAATGGTTCGGTGGTACCTCTTCGCTACCGGGAGATATGGGAGGACTACGGCTACGCGTCGAGGACGTCGGCGAGATGCTGCGAGATGTGTCTGGGCTGGTCGGAGATCTTTCCTCCGATCTGGAGAGAAGTGCGTCTATGCAGAAAGACCCTTTGCTCTCCTGCATCTTGGTGTCCATGTTCAAAGGCTTCGACTGGAAGGATTCGTGGATATAACTCATCTTCTTCGAGTTACTCTAATCAAATCAGGAATTAGATTTGCTTATTACTTCTTTTAATTTTATCTTCAGTTTCGAGGTAGCAGTCAACACTTGGTTAAGATCATGTCACTGTCAATAATGGTAATCCGTGTTTGCGTCAGGAATCGCGTCAGATTCTACTTTTATTTGAGAACGTGTTGCAGGCGACACGGAAGGCGTCGATGGACTAAACGATTTGAAATGTATTATCCTAATAATATCTGACATTACAGCAACATTAGACGGTATACATTACACGTACAGTGCGCGTAGAGATGGCCTTCCGATTGGTCCTCGTTCGATGGATACGCCCATTCTGGGGGCATGGCTTGGCGTGGCGCAATCAAGTGCGCAAGGACGAAGGACTAAGGACGACGAGGGGACATTTCCGAGGATTCTGGTCGGTCTTGAAGGATCGGGCTTCGCTTCGGACCGCTCCTCTTCTCCATCCGCTAATGGCACAATCGGTATTTATCTTCCGCCGGGAACCCAATTAATTATTTCTCTCTCTCTTTTTTTTTCACAACTGCAATCATAAATCCCTCTCACGATCCCAACCAATTTCTGTCCATCCGAATATCCGACCATTCCCATTGATTTGCTGCCGAAACTTTCCGGAAAACTCTGGCATCCCATAACGTTTATGGGAAAACTTGTACATATTTATTTCTTCAACGGCCCATTTGATTAACAACCATAGCTATACAAAATACTTACCATCCAATATACGCTAAGTAACTGAAATACATTATTCATTAGTATTCTCAGAGAATTACTTTTACGCCACTCTTTTTCACAGAAACATAACAGATTTATGAACGAACCTTCTTCGACTGTGAATTTTCGTTATAAACAAACCTAAGCAATTTTTCTTCAAACAGTGACTTTTCAAAAAGAATCAACTCTAATACTTTTTCTTATTGTCCTTACATATCATTAGATTCTAAAACTAAACATATTGTAAAACTTTATAAACATCAATTTTCAATTCAGATGCAAAATTTAAAACTTATACAGATATTGAAAATTTTTCACGTACATTATTAAATTAATAATAAGCGTATATTATTGTTATAATTACATATATTTCTATTTACTCAATGATAGCTTAACTACCAATAGATAATATCCGGTCCAATCTAGGCACTTTTCATTTTCTATTTAATACTTTATATTTATTATAAGAAACGTTTAACAAAAATAATAATTATTAAAAAATGTATTTCCCTTTTCGTCAGAAGTTTAATAATAATAATAATATGTCCATGTTAAATAAACGACATTTAATTAGTACTTCATTTACTTTTTGAACTTGAACTAAAAATTTATTTTAATAAAAAGCAAGGAATACATCATGCTGATCTTTGAATAATATTTATTATAGAAAATACGTTATAAGTTCGTAGATATATTTTGCATAGATTAGAGTGTTAAATAACCACTACAAAATAAACATTTGGACTTTGTATCTAGAATCAACATTTATGTACTTCTTCATATGTAGCCGTTATCTGTCTATAACTAAACTGCATTCAAAAGGTAAACACAACGAAATTTATCCTTACAATGTAAAAAATAGTCAAAGGAAAGAAATCAAGGATTTCCGATTTATCATAATCCAAATACTTAGTTGCAAATACTTAGTTGCATAATCTATAAAAGAATATTATTATTTTCCTAATTAAATTAGTATTTAATTATATCAAAGAGTCGAACCGAAATTAATTTCGTTCCGGTTTACGGTTACGTTCCAAGATAACGATAACCAGATTCGGTTTCGTCTAAAAATTTCGGTTCAGATCCGGTTGAAATTAAAATTTAAAATCGAAAAAATATACAATGTCGAAAAATTATTTTTTTCAAATGTCTATATAAATAAACTAAAACACTAGCACCGGTACAACATACATTAAAGAAAGCGATTATGAATTAATTTAATGAAAACAAAAATGAACTGAAATTAACCGTAAGTAAAAAATCGTTCCGTTTTTGGTTTTTCATTTAAGCAATTTTTTGTTCCGTTTACAGTTACGGTTCAGTTAAAAATTTCGGTTAATTTTGGTTTACGGTTCAATTCGACTCTGAATTATATAAATAAAAAATAAATCTAATTTCTATTGAATTATAATTAAAAAAAAATATAAAACAAATAATGTTCTTATTAATTTATATAAAAAATATAAATAAATATAATACATGCAATAAATAAAATTGTTGTTTATATAATATTTTTAACCGAATCGTGTTATATTTAGAATTGGCTTTTATCTTGAACTAGATTAACATGTCGATAATGTTCTCGCCTTCTTATATATTTTTTTTCCGTATTAATTCTCACTTTATCACATATTTTTTTTTGAAAATGTTCCATTACTAAATTATTCTTAATGGATTTTCTCTTACGATAAAGAGAAACACAAATATTGAAACTTTCTTATCTTGGCAATTAATTTTAAAATGCTCGTTACAATCGTCGGATTGTTATCTACAAATAATAATAATAATACAAATAAAATCGTAGTAATTACGCTAATTAATGAATACTGTTCATTTCATTATATTATTATAAATTGTGGTTTTTGTTGTTTCTTTTTATTTATAAATATTTATATCTTAATGACATTGATTAATTATTAAACATTGTCGAATTTATTTATGTAAATTTTATTATTTGATAAATCATGAATTCTAATGGAATTTTTATTAATGAAATATTTAATTAAAAATTTTGATAAATTTTTGATAAATCATGAATTCTAATGGAATTTTTATTAATGAAATATTTAATTAAAAATTATGATATGAATTTTTTTATGAATCATTTTCAAAGAACTTTCTTTTGTTTTTTGTTTATTAGTAATTGTGGAAACACACATTGTAAATTTTGTAGTTTAGAAATAACGAATGATTTTAATTGTCATGAATTTCTATTTTTTTATTATTAATTATTTTAATCAAAATGTTGTACAATTTTGGATTTATATTTTTTTTATCATTCATAAGATGCGTTTGTATGTTAATATTCGAGACAAGTTTCAGCAATTAAGAAGACCTGAATTGAAGGAAGAAATAACATTTATATTTACAGACGTGTGATGGTAATGAAATTAAGACTTGAGCAGTGGAGGAAAACGACAATAGTTGGATGGACGTGATGTCCATACGAGGATTACGCTTCACAATTCATAGTGATTTCGGTGAGGCGAGGGGGAATCGTAAAGCATCTGTTACGTAACAGGAATAATTACAAATTACAAGACTGTTTGCGTTTGAAAATTGTTGTAACAGGATTATTTCAAATGGGGTTTTTCTCTCAATTGGATTAGTTTTATGTGGATAAAATTATTGATCAAAGAAATGAAATTTTTATTTAAAGATAATTTAATACATGTTATATAACAAATTATAAATTGAAAGTCTGTTTTTAGTTGTAACATAATTATTTCCAATGTTAAATTAAATTGGTTTAGTTTTATTAGTATTAAATTATTTATCAAATGAATAAAGTAATTTTTCGTCAAAAGATTCCAATGAAATCGTAACTCGAATAATTGCAAATTTAAAAACTATTTTTGGTTATAACAGGATTATTTCGAATGGTATTTTTTCAATTGTTTTAGTTTTATGAGAAAGGAATTATTATTCCAAGAAATGAATTCATATTTCTTCAAGAAATCACATTGATTTCATTTAGTGGACGTAAGTACAATATTTCTAAAAAAATATTGTAAAAATATAATTAAAATCGTATTACATAACAGGAATAATTACACATTGAAAAACTGATTGTTGTTTTATTATTACGAATGTTTTATTTCAATTGGTTTAGTTTTATGAGTTATTATATTAGTTTAATGAGGATAGAATTATTGATTCAAAAAATGAACTAATATTTCTTCAAGAAATTACAATGATTTCATTTAGTGGACGTAAGTACGATTTTTATAACAAAAAAAGGATTATAAAAATATAATTGAAATCGATTACGTAAAACAAATTGAAAAAGTGTTTGTTGTTCTAACAGGATTAATTCGAATATTCTATTACAATTGGATTAGTTTTACGAGCATTAAAATATTGATCAAATTAATTAAGTTATATTTCTTCACAAGATTAAAATTATTTAAAGTAGGTACGATCTTGATGAAAAAAAAGAACAGGATTATAAAAATATAATTGAAAAAGAGTAACGTCATAGGAATAATTACAAGTTGAAAGAGTGTTTTTTGTTAGAAGTGGATTATTGTTATTTCCAATTGGATTTGTTTATTTACCAAAGAAATTAAGTTATTTTATTTTTCACGTGATTACATTTTTTTCAATTAGTGGATCGTTATAAAAAAAATGTATTCTAACAATATAATTGTGTTACGTAATATGAATAATTACAAATGGAAAAACTAGTTCTTGTTATAACATGATTCTTTCTAATATTTTATTTCAATTGGATTAGTTTTATGAGGATTAAATTAATAAAATAATAACATTTATTGAAACAGTAAAATTACAAAATAAAAGAACTCAATACAATAATATAAATATCATAAATCAAACAATCAACTGCTTAAAAGGGCAATTAAATTATTTATCAAACAAATTAAGTTATTGTTTGCTTCATGAGATTACAATTATATAATTGTGTTAGGTAACAGAAAAAATTACAAATTGAAAAACTGGTTGTTGTTATAAAAGGATAGTTTGATTTCAATTGATAATGAAATTATTGGTCGAAGAAAAGAAGCTGTTTTTCTTAAAGAGATTTCAATAAATTGGAACTCAATTAGTTGACGTAGGTATGATCTTTATGAAAGAAAGAAGAAAAAAAAAAGATTCTTTAAAAATATTTGAAAACGTGTTCGAGTGGATGAAACCTCGAGGAAACGGTTTGTTTGTACAGCTCCTGATGGTCCTCACTTGACGGGGAGAACCATCAGAAAGGATGCATAATCAAAATCACGTTCCCAAACCGAAAAATGATTCCAAATATTTGCATAGGTTCGAGGAAACGACAATAATAATATTACTAGTTTTGGAACGAAGACGCAATAATATTATATTGTGCAGAAATAGCGAGATCCGCGAAATATCCAAGTCAGGTTACATTGGAATGTCAAATATTTGCTCTTCGATGGTGGAAGCTCGAACACACACACACG